GCCTAACTGTGTTCAAAATTACCTCTTCTGTATTTCTTATAATAACTAATAGTAATTATAGTTTTTATGAATCCTTACCTTATGCAGAAGCCTCTGAATCAGTAGGCTTCAACATGCGCAACGGAAAAACCATGACCTGTAATATAACACGGAGAAAACTAACCCAATCACAAGAATATATGGAACTCAAAACAACTATCTTTAAGACAACATCAATGTTAGAATTTTCAATACGAACATTAGGACAGCCCTACTGCACGAGGAACTGAAACTCGGAGAACTACTACATGTATCAGTAAAAAAGCACAAGTATTTTTAAACAATCGTCTTCGCACGATACTCAATATCGGTTGACCAGGTATCATGAGCAACAAACTACTGTGGGAGAAGACAAACCAGGTTCGATCTGAAGAGAAGGTCAGAAAAAAACACTAGAAGTGGATAGGACATCCATTGCGGAAATCACCAAACTGCATCACGAGGTAAGAGTTAACTTGAAATTTTGAACAGTAACGGAAAGGAGAAGACCAAGGAACACATTGAGTCAAGAATTAAAAGCAGACATTAAAAGAATGAATAGTAACTGGAATGGATTGTTCAGGACAGAGTTAGATGGAGAATGCTAGTGGGCGGTCTACGATCCTCCACGAGGGGTAACAGTTGTATGTCAGTAAGTAAATATCTTATACAAAGGTGATAGTGGTCTATTCAAACTTCCGCGTTATCATTTTTCCAAATCTCTACTTACATAAATTTTTCTGTTTTACGTTGTGTTTTTTTTAATTAAATAATTTTGTCTACCGAACGCGGTTACCTACACAGTTTTATGAAACATGTACAACTTATTACAAAGTTATTTGATGATAAATAACTTAGTAATTATCAGAATGACCTTTCATCTATTGATTTTAAACAGTTACTAAGGTTACATGTCAATTATCGATAATAAGCTTATATCCTATGATAATATAGATGATCGATACTATACTGTCCGAAATTTCTCATATGATACTTTTATGATGATAAATGTATAGATTAAACTAGAATGTACCAATTACTCATATGACAGAACAATACTCCAAGAGGGAAACGGGCGTAATATGATGTCCAATTTTTATTTAATTGAACATTATGTGTAAGAGGTATGATATTAAATGGTTGGGAATAGTCAGCCGGTAACCTCGGACCTATGTTTCTGGTTAGATGACACTCCTTGGGAAGCTATACCAAGAATCCTGATACAACCATTGAGCTATTCGGATCATTATTAACCTTCTATGTGATTGAAATAGTTAGAATTGATAGGTTAATGTGTAGAAACTAATCTCATAGGCAGAAATCGATGAGCAATAAGGGCTAGACAAACACAAATTTGTTGTAAATATCTTAGTCATCAGATTAAACTGAGATTGGGTTATACGGTTTCAAGCCTTAAACTGTACATCAGTCCCATCAAGATGATGAAAGTTGACTAGAACGATGCCTAAGTTAGGGCTCCGTATCGACTAGTTCCAACCGCCTAACAGATTATTCCTATTAGTAAACAGAAAAATATATCCTGTTATTGTATCTAAATACATTTTACTAAAAAGAATTATCGTTTCTATGATTTTGTTCAGAATTTATGCAACGTATTTCGAAAAAAACCCTGGGAAATCGTTCCATCGTATCTCTTTGAAGAATGGAAAATGATCTGTATAAAATGTTTTCCTGGTTTCTATGACTACACAAACAAATCATTAAGCTGTAGGCCTAAAAAATCTCCGAATATCCACGCAACTGATTATTATTCTGAGCAGTAAAAATAATTGTTAGACTCAACTTTATAATATACCAAACCTATGGCGTCAAAAGTTGGAAACTATTGATTTATATAATAACTGAGCTCATACTATAAATTGATCCTAATGATTGACACAAACAAAGAATAAGCCCAGTTTAATTAACTGATAAGAGTCTACTAAGGTAACATACAGGATTTATTAGTAGTTATTCTAGCTGCGTTTGTAATTAGCATTGACTGATTTAAAGCAGTGCTCATTGAAGTAATGATCAGCCAGTACATTTAGATCCCTTAAAAATCATCTCTCCATCCAGACGGGAGTTCCAATCATCAACGACAGAAATGAAGAGCCTAGTAATGACTAGATAAGGTCTAAGAGTTAAATAGTAGCTACGATTCTTAATTAATAATTTCGAATATGAAGAATTTATTTTTTTCCGCTTCGTATTGTTCATTACTTACGACGCCTATTACCCCTCATTGAGGGAGCTTAGGATGCACACCAAAATTATCCACCCAACTCTATTCTGAACAATCCTTTCCAGTTGATATTCATTATTTTAATGTCTTCTTCCAATTGCCAACGGAATGTGTCCCTTAATCTTTCTTTTTTTTCGTATTGTGTACGTGCACATCATTAAATTTACATTGCATTGGATTCGACACATTCTGTGTAATTTTATGACTGCATGCATAATCTATTAAAGACACTACCAGATTCTCTTAATCATTATTTTTTCTACAAACACAAAAACTAGTATTTTCTTTTATAGGATGGAATTATTATAGCACTACATCCACTTTTAAGTCTGTGAACACTTCACTTTGTTAAGTTATTCACAACTATTATAATTATTATAGAGTCATTAGGTCAATAACAATTTGTACATCATAGTATTATTATCATGTTTGTATGAACATGTAGGCTTGATCATGTGTTACAGCCTACTCATACATATTCATCTTGTTAACATAACGAGTTAGTTACTAATATAGATCAATGACTCATTCACTCTCCTCCGCTTACATTCGCATTTCTGTTCGTGTTCACTTTGTGATCTACACCGTACTTCATGTTTCATATTTTCTGAACGACAGCTATCAAAGATGAGGGACATATAAACGATTAGGAATTATACTGAAGATATTCCATTACAATGGAATAAAAACAAAATAGTCAAATTATTTTAAAAAAAATAAATTTTATCATTAGAGAAGAGAAACAAAACAAACAAAAAAAAACAATGAGGAAGAATAACAACAAAATATGACGAGGAAACAGGAAGAGGAAAGAATAACAAAAGAATAAACAGCTTATGAAATGAATCCTGTTAACAAGTGAGTGAGAGAGAGAGAGAGAGACAGAAATAAGCGATAATTATAGTAAATATAAATGAACGAAATGTTGACCATGCTAAAAGAATATATATATATATATATATATATATATATATATATATATATATATTTACATCAGTATAAATACTAATAATAAAATACATATATATATAAATAAGAAAAAAACCAACTTAAAGTACACGATTGACTGTTAAACACAACAACATGTATTTCTACTTACACTATAACTAAATATAAAAAGTGAGTAATCACCCCCACCAGCCACCAACCCACCCACCATCCAAAACATATGAAATCGGGGGGGGGGTAAATAGTAACACTGAGCAAATAGACAAAATATCTAATGATATCAAGATAAAAAAAATAACCTAAGCACAAATCATTGTTTTTTCGAAGAAGTAGAAGAAGAAGAAGAAGAAGAAGAAGAAAAACAAAAGAAAGAAATTACATAACAACAATTTAAAATGATTGCAACAAAAAGGTAAATAAATAAATTCAGCAGTTCATCCATATAAATTATCTGATTGTAAATATTCAAAGAATGAAATGGATTACACTAAAATAAATAATAAAAAAAAAACAAAACAAACAAACAAACAATCATATCTAGTCATCAAACAGAAAGCAGCAGTGAAAGGCAATACATTTTTATATGTGTATTACATATGAGTTGAATATGATTGAAACAATAAGATCAATTATTATGGTATAACACTAATAACCAATAATTTCATGTATGATGATGTTGTTGTTGTTGTTATTATTATTATTATTTTCTAGTATTGTCCCATTCTATCTGATTACTTCTTTATTCGGTATCATTCTTTATTGTAAACAATAATGACGGATGGAGAGAGATAGATAGATGGATAGATAGAGAAAACAATCATTGTTGAGGTAAAACATTCTTATTATCACTTGATGATAATACGAATTAATTAATGATAATCAAGTTATATAGTTAAAATGATAAGAATGTAGACGTTGTCTATCAATCATCAAGATGATTTGAATAAAATATTTCTATTCAATGATTAAATCAACAGTTAATATCATTGTTTTTAGATTTTTTTTTCTTTTTTTTTTAAAAAAAAAAAGAGCGCACGATTTCAATTGTTCAGTGATCAATAAAAATAAGTAAATAAATAAATAAATAAATAAACAACGCAACAATCATTAGCTTTTATATTATATTCATTCGACTAATCATCATAATTAATAAGACTAGAATACAATAAAAGTGTATTGTATATTGACTAAATATGGAATAGGTATTAACAATTATAAGATAATGGACGTAAGTTTTGATTCACATTTATTTATAATAATAAGCGATTGTGTTTGTCTGTTTGTTAGTTTGAGTGTATGTGTGTGTGTGTACATGTACATGTACATGTACAGGTACACATTTTTATTTCTTTTCAATTTTCTCTATTTTGATTTTGTTTTATTTTTTTATTTTCTTTATTCCTTAAATGTTTAATGTTTTTACATGGATAAGAATGATAGAATAATTGTGATTGAAGAAAAAAATTTGATGAAGTTCAATAACTAGAAAAATGAAAAAAAATAAATAAACTATACACAAAATAAATGAAGTTGAATAAATTAGATCAAATTTATGATTTGAATGAAATTCAATAATCCCCATAGTAACATACTAAGAACAATAATAATAACATTATATAATACATATGAACTAACAAAACAATATAATTAGGCAATACTAAACCAAATACTACTACTAGTAGTAATATTTAATAATAACTTTTGTTTTAATGTTTAACTTCAACTAATCCACCACGAAATTGAGTGACACATCTACCATTATCATCAGTAAGTTACTATCTCATAGTGGTCTAGCTTCAATTGATTCATGATTATAACTGTTGAAATTACTATAATCTCTACAAAACGTCTTCTGATACTAAACAATATATGCTCACTAGTGACTGGCTTCAAGAGGTATATCCTGAAGTTCTAGTGAGATGTACTGTTAAGTGGAGTTCGACTAGGTTTATTGTAAGATGGTAACTCACTAAAGAGATTGGTGAATGTGTCGCTTAATTTCGTCGATTGGTTGAAGTTAGACAATAGGACGAAACGGCAATCCAGTGCTTTCAGGTTTTCTATGGTGATCTAGCTTGAATTAACTCATGATCTCAACCATTGAAGCAATAACTTTTGTTTCACTGCTTCAAAGATGGTAGTCATTTATCAACTAGGTAGGTAAGTACGCAATATCAACACTTAATAACCTTAAGACTAAACAAACGACAGACACATTAGTTTAGTGTAAACCAGACGTAGTTTCAGAAAAATAAACGACTTATGATAATTTAATCTTTGTTGTAAGCGCCCTTATAAGAACTGAGATTACTTAACAGATCTCATTCAATTATGAACAAAGAAAATCAAATTTCATACTTTACTACTCCTATTTGCTACTACTACAAAAAACAACAATACCCACCCGACGAAGTTGATAGCTGTTAAGGATACATAGAATATATTCCAACAGCTTGAACTGGTGAAGATTCACTACCTAAGCAATCGATTTGCCATCTTTACTCAGTATTTTGTGATTAAAGTCGTGGTCACAAAATATACAAACGATGTTCTGAATGCAGATCTTTAATCGAATACTAGTAAAATAAAATATTCTATAGAAAATATAAAGAGTGGATGGATCTGCACAGCTATAAGCGATTCTAATTAATATTGCGTAGGTCGTGATTAGAGCTTTGATCATAAACCAAATGTCAACACTAATCCAATGATTTCATGGACCGATGCCTATTTTTAAATTTAGCTATTTCCCTCCAAGATTTCTTTAATAATACCTACTTTAGTTTCAACACCATTAAAATATGTGACCCTTCTAACCCTTTGGAGGACTAGTTATACACCAAACGTTAGATGTAATATAATTTCCAGAATGCCGAAAATAATTACAAATTCCTTTAAAATTACTACAACAAAATACAACATTAAAAACAACTTATACCTAGAACAATCATTATTAACATCAAATTGTAATTGAAGTCATTGTTTTACCACCTTCTTGAGAGAAAAATAAATCACTATATACCCTTTAATTTCATTGTACAAATATGAATAATCACTAACCTTTAATCAGAATCAAATGAATCATCCTGTTCTTCATCCGATTCATAAATAGCATTATTATTATTATTATTACAATAAAGTGAACTCTCCAAAGTAGAATTAAGACCATTGATATCCGTTGATAATGGAGTGATTTCTTTCAATAGAAATAATCAAAGAAAATCAATTAACATGAGAACAATACTGTTTACCTTCAATTCTCTAAAAAAAGGGATCTATAGTCTAAGTTGAATTTCAGAAAAAAAAAGTTAATTCGTAAGTTACAAAATACCAAGTTATGCAATGCAAAAAAAAGGTGTACTGAATAACAATTCCGGAAACTTGATATTTTTTCGGTTTAATTTTAACTCATATACTGAAGAATCGATCATACCTATATGTATAAACACGATGAATAAGTGGTTCTAAGGTATATAATTCAGTAAACAAATTTATAAACATTTATGATTACATTGTAAATAAGAATAAAGTTAAAGTTAAGCACCTATTACCACATATTGAGAGGTAATGTACAATACATAGCGGAAAAAGTCTGATCAGCTCTAATGGGTTAGTGTCTGACGAAATCTCGGCACGGATACGAAAAGCTCGTTTGGATTTTGCCAACTTACGTCATCTATGGTGAAGGCAAGATATCCGTCTATTAATTAAACGATGAGTATACTGCACGACAGTTCGTTCCGTTTTACTATACGTCTGCGAAAGGTGGCCTTTACGAGTAGAAGATACTCGTAAGTTACTAGTATTTGACCACAGGTGCCTTAGAAGTATTGCTCGCATTTGCTGGGATCACTACGTAAGTAATAGTGAGGTTAGACACAGGGTATTAGGGAATGATGGTAAATCAGTTGATGAGGTTATGAATCTTCATCGACTGAGATGGTTAGGCCACGTGCGGTGTATGCCTGAACACCGATTACCACGACGCGCAATGCTAATCGGTGTTAGAGATAATTGGAAGAAAGTTAGGGGCGGTCAAACCAAAACGTGACATCAGTGCTTGAAGTCACTAACTTCTGGTCTGAGCCATATTAGTAGATGCAGACTACCTGGTTGGGGTCCGCGTGAAAATCGTAACCAATGGTTGGAGACTCTTTGTGATATGGCTCAGAATCGATCACAATGGCGTCGGTGTATATACTCTGTGTCTTCCCTTAAACTAAGAGATTAAAATCGCTTCATATCTTTCTTTCTACGAACTAATTCTTTCGTCCTGTACTATCTTCTTATATGCAATCTTTCTTTTATATATTACCACCACTGAATTAACTACTTCTATGAATCCGGTGTTCATCTTGTCGTGCTAATACGGTATGGCAACTTGGACCGATGCATATATGTGTCTGGTCCTACGTTGCAACTGACGACCTCTCATCAAAGAGCATAGGATACACACAGAAATTATCCACCCAACTCTATCTTGAACAATCCTTTCTAGTTACTATTCATTATTTTAATGTCTTCTTCCAAATGCCAACGTAATGTGTCTCTTGATCTTCCTCTTTTTTTTCGTATTATGTACGTGCACATCATTAAATTTACATTACATTGGATTCGACACACACACTACCAAATTCTTTTAATCATTATTTTATATGGCTTCACGAATGTAGATATACATGGACATATATTTATTTGCATAATAGCTTCATCTGACATTTTAATTTTGTATAACGTATATCTATCATACCAGAACCAAGCGTTCTTTCATGTCTTTCATAGAATTTACTACGAATGATATTTCTAGATGCAAATTTATTGAGGACGTTGGAAAGATCTAAATATTATCCAGAAACCATGAAGATAGAAACGTATATGCAATTCGATAGTTTTACAAAATGAAACAAAATAAAACCCGTTTTTAATGAAATCCATAAACAAACCTGCAAACATAGTCTTTTACATACTAAATCCATTCTATATTTTTATCAAGAGTTTCATCTTTATAATGATAGTGTACACAAAGACAATGAACGTTTTCCAACTACAATATATGATTTGTAAAATAGTAAACCTTTTCATTCAAACAAAAGTTCAAACGAATTCGAAACTTTTTATAGTTAAACTTATGTAATACTGATATTATTTATAAGTAAGATAAAATTAATATATGTATATACATAACAATCTATGTCAGTATAAATTACCATTTTTAGTACGTCGACGAAGTCCACATGGTAAAGCATCTAAATCGGAAAAACTATCTTTTGGTGAATCACCATGAGATACAGTTGATTCATGAGGCATAAGCATAGCTGGTGCACGAAACATATAACATAAAGGATAGTAGATCAAATTTATACAAGAGAAAGAATATAAATCAGCATAACGTAATACTTGAGATGAGAAGAATGTATGACGAGAACCTGAAATATAATAAAAATCAAACATAATAACAATAATAATAGAACAGAGAAAAAAGGAGACTTATAAATAATGAGTAATTATAGTGTACATTGTGTTTTCATATGGCAATGATCTAAACGTTAATTTTCATTATAACGCAAAACACTCAACTCACTAATAGAAATACTTAACATGGCAATTGTCTAACCTATTTATCAACAGGACACTTAATGTCAAATCACCTAGACTAATGGCCATAATCCTTTTTAATCCGTGAAATTCTATCACTACTAAAGAACTGTATAAATACAACATTGGCCGTTAATTAGGGATCAATCAATCAGAATGAAACATAATAATGCTGATCTAAAATCCTTTACAATTACATATGATAAACTATCAAATAAATAATAATCATGCTTAATATATTTTCATGCAAGATTTTTGAGCCAACTAGTTGCAAGTTTTGGGATCAAAAAGTAAGCAATGCTTGGGGTTAGAAATAGAGTTCTTGGTAAAGGTGGGAAATCGATTGATGAGTAAGTGAATTTTCGTCAACTGAGGTGGTTTGGAAATGTCTTAAGTATGCCCAAATATCGTCTATCTTGACGAGTGATGCTTTCTGGTGCAGGAATAAGATGGAAAGACGTTAGAGGCAGCCAAACCAATACATGGCATCAGTACATGAAATCATTGACAGTTGAATTGAGCCATGATAATAGGTGTAAACTACTTGGTTGTGGTCTGTGAGAGCATCAAAACCAACGCTTAGAGACTTTAAATGACATGGCTCGAAATCGTTTGGCAAGGCGCAGGTGCAACTGTTCATTGTTTTTCCCCGAATTCTGAGATTCTGAATTACTCATAACTTCTTATATACATATAATGAACGAGTTAGTGCGTAAATTTTGTTTGTGGTCGACCAATAAAAGCTTCTTGCTCACTCTTGATTTTCTCAGTAATGTGTGTGTGGTTTGGTTGGGTTAATGGTGGATTATAATATTAGATTCAAACGAGAACCCAAAAACACATGTGTATATATGTCATGGAGGCTGAAATAAACGTAACATATTTACCAACGAATTATAATTGAGCTTTAACTCAAAATTATAATACAATCAATCGATAATCTATATGAAATAGAAATGAACAACTAAGAACAACCAAGAATTTAATATTTCGTGGATTAGTTGAGGTTAGACATTAACACAATTGGATGCCGGCTCATTGGTCTAGGGGTTAAGCGTTCGCGCGCAAGATCGAAGGCCCTGGGTTTGAATCCCGCGAGCGGGATCGTGAATGCGTACTGCTGAGGAGCCCCACAATAGGACGAAACGACCATCTAGTGCTTCAAGGTTTCCAATGATGGTCTAACATCAATCGGTTCATGATCTCAATCAAAAACTTAACAATCTCCACAACCCTTAAACTGATAGTTTAATATACATTAAATTTATTCTTACATTCAATTCAATTCAGCTACATTCAAGCTATTAATAGTAAATTGTTAGAAAGGAGTTTACAAATAACAATAAATTAATCCAGGAACAGAAAAGCTCAAAGTTTACAAGAATGATTTGTACGAATACAGGTCAAAGCCAGACACTGAATACACCAAATCGTAATAAAATTAAATAATAATATGATATGAACTATCTTTACTCTTTGACATATAGTGTAAATTTGCTTTTGTATATGTACGTGTGTGCTTGTAAGTATTATAAACAAGTAAACATATAGGTAGTCATGATATTCTGTTGGAAATTTGTGGTTACCTAATTTCACCATCATCATTACTTAAGTCACAGGTGACGATTGGAAGACAATATTTTATTATAAAATTACGTAATATACTTATTGTAATAGTATTTTGACAAACACCACCTAATCTATATGATGGCTATAGTACTAACAAGAATACTGGATGTTTAAATAACTAATACGACAGATATTTTTGAGAAGAAAAAAATAACTGATTTCAAAACTAACCGTTTCTGAAAATACTTCCCAATGCACCATAAGATTCTTCCATTTGTTGAGCCACAGCCTTGATATATATTCATTAAAATGGGATAAACAAAAAAGAAATATTTAACAAAACATATACAACTATATATGTAATACATAGATTATCAGTAATTATTGATTAATTGACAGATAATTCCCATGTAAGCATTAACAACATGAAGTTCAGAGAAGGGATCTCTTTTTAACGAATTTATTATCAAGCTGTACAATTGTATATATATACGTTGGCCCTAATTATTATTATTACTGAATTACCCCTTGTCTCATATTCTCATTATTTTATTCATAGGTATTCATCATGTCACTTAATTTATTTTTATACCTCTATAACCTTTAATTATTGTAACGAAAACATTTTAGTCATCTGACTACATTCACGTCATAATTCGTCAGTAACTTACTAAATCTATTGTCATCAAAAGGGGTTTTGTGGAGATTTTAGTAATTTCAATAGTTGAAATCATGAGTTAATTGAAGCTAGACCACTATGGTTTCAACTATTGAAATTAATAAAATCTCCACAAAACCCCTTCTGATAATCATCATCTGCTCACTAGTGACTGACTTCAAGAGACATTTCCTGGAGTTCTAGAGATAAGCAGTGATCAGTGGATTTCAACCAGGTCTGTTATGAGATATCAGCTCACTGAGGACAAAGGTGTACGATGGCGCAATTTCATGAATTGGTCGAAGTTAGACATTAACACCGCTGGATGCCGGCTCAGTGGCCTAGTGGTTAAGTCCTCCGCGCGAAGCCAATAGGTCCTGGGTTCAAATCTCGCAGTGGACCATCCAGTGCTTCCAGGTTTTCCATGGTGATCTAGCTTCAATTGACTTATGGTTTCAACTATTGAAATCTATTGTTATTATTCATATTACATAGCCCGATATTATAATCTTTCTATTATTACATTATCTTGGTTATTCCTTGTTCACATTTCCTCACGGAACTAGTCCTTTAACAAAAAAACTTTGATATATATATGATTGTACAGCTTGATAATAAATTGGTTGAAAAGACATCCCTTCGTTGAACTTCCTGTTTTCAATTATTGATTATTTAAATACAACATACAGAAATGTTTCACAATAAATTAACCAATCTCTTAATTGGAACAGTAATGATCATGAAATGTGTAACACGATACTGGTAAATCGAATTGATAGTGGTACAAATACATTTCTAAACTTTGATGATTTAACTTAATTTGCTTTATTTTGGGATAGACATACAGTTGATAAATTGTAAATACAATGAGACACACATGAAGAATTATTTATATTTTTTGTGACTTTCATTCTAATGCTTAACCAATTTATGAATAGATATGGTTATTGATATGTCATAATAATAACAATAATGATATCAATAATAATAATAATAATAATAATAATAATAATAATAATAATAGATCTTGATCGTATACCATTCATCAATTACGCATGATAATAAATTGAGGAAATACAAAATTGAATCAGCTAACCGAAATCATTTTAATATCATCAATTTTTTTGTTTCATACGATCTAACTCCGTATGGACGGTTATTTCTTTTAAATAATCACATGTGCTATTTACGGTATAACAATAAATCTAAATTAATTTCTCTTCCATTATTCAACATCAAAATAGATTTAGTGAAGATAATAGAAATTTCAATAGTTGAAAACATGAGTCAATTGAAGCTAGACCACCATAGAAAACTTGAAAGCACTGGACGACCGTTTCGTCCTACTATGGGACTCCTCAGCAGTGCGCATCCACGATTCCGCCCCTCGCAAGATTCGAACCCATGACCTATCAGTCTCGCGCGCGAGCGCTTAACCATTATTCAATAGATAACTAATAGGTGCTAACATAATAAAAATAAAACGTGCGATGTTTGTCTCTAACTCACACGTGATATAGTTAAACTCCAATGATTCATAACTATAGCTTCTCATTTTATTTTGAAGCTAATCACTAGTGAACATATATGAAAATTATCAATATTGAGGTTTTGGATATTCTTCGATATTATTAAAATCGAAAACTGGATTACATTACAAAAATATTGAAAACCTGGAAGCATTGAATAGCTATCTAATTTTAGCATAGAACTTTACAATAACAGCTAACCACAAAATCAATTGTGTAATGTTCAGTTTTTTTTTTCATGAAATAAATGGTGAAAAGATTGTCCCTATTTAAAAAAATGGAAGCTTTCCAATCCAATCATTTAGTTTACAGAACTTATTAATACCATTAATATATATACCAAACATTCACTTACCCGAATTTTTCTCTGTAAACTTCCAACATCCGGTCTTATATTCGATGAGATATTTAAGTCACTAATAAAATATTTAACAAAGTAGGATGAAACGAATGTTATGCAATGAGAAAGAAAACATGTATTATTATTATTATTATTGACATAAGGCAAGAATAACAACAAAACAAGAACTTTGATTCATATGTTTATTTATGATATAACATTGGAAAATATTCTAGATCATCATTGCTTTTTAAGGATTGAGATTAGAGTATTTGTAGTGAGGTGGAGTGAAATAACGAAGTGAAACAACCTTCATTTTCCCTATAACATAAAACTTATATATATTAACATAATTTGTTGGTTGATAAATAAATAAAAGACAAAATCGATAGATTTTTTTATTTAAAAAAAAAAACAAGTAATAGTCCTTCAAGTTACATACGATCATAATATACACAGAAGTCATAATAACTTGGATCAAGGAGAATTTTTCAAAGTTAACATTCCATATAGAGATGTAAAATGATGAGGTTGATTCTGATTTTACAAGTTTGTGAAATTTGTCTCCTTTGAATTGAGGATGTGTCTTAAAATTTCCCACTTCCTATCAATGTTGTCTTTAAATAATTGTTGGTTTCTAATGGCTACACTGTGTCATAAAGTTTGACAATGTGTTCAAACATAAAGATGATAAGTTATTCAATGTCACATTATCTCAAGAAATCTTCATCAGTGACTAAGATATATTTTACGAATGTTATTCTAATGGATTCATTGAGTAAACTATTTGCCTGAACGATAAAACCGGGTGGAAAATTTGAGGAAATAGTCATTTTATAAAATGGCATTGTGATTTAAAAGATAGTTTCATAGAGCTATCATCTATTTCCTGAGCGAAATCCACAAATTACGACAGTCAACGGATTTGACACGTTATCACATATAATTTACAATGGAAGCTATTGACTGTCATGACATAGATTCCCATTACATTACATTACATTTTTTTATACGTTACTATTGTTTCATTTGATGTGGTTCATTCATTTCTAATCCTTTTTATTATACTAAAAAAATGTTTAACAGTTTAACAATAAACACAATGAAAAGTTATCACCTTTCAACGCAATTCAAGGACAGACATTATAGATTGTAAAACATTATGACCATTATAGAAATTCAATATTATTAAGGAAACATTCTCATTTAATACAACATTCCATTTGCATAAGGAAACATTTTCACAATTTCCGGAAGACGACCAAAATAGAAATCATATGATAATTACTTATGTTAAAATTATTATTACTGATACTTAGTAAAAACACATTCAACATTACAAACTCATTGTTGAGTAATCAAATTATTTTTTTCAGTTTAGGGTTGTGGAGATTATTAAGCTTTTTGATTGAGATCATGAACCGATTGATGTTAGGCCAACATTGAAAAAATGGACTCATTGGACGGTTGTTTCGTCCTATTGTGGGACTCCTCAGAAGCGCGCCGATTAGCTGAGGTTACACAATAACACCACTGGTAGCCAACTCAGCGGTCTAGAGGTTAAGCGTTAGCGCGCGAAACCGAAGGCACTGGGCTCGAGTCCCGAGAGCGGGATCGTGGATGCGCATAATAGGACGAAACGACTATCCAGTGCTTCCAAGTTTCCAGTGGTGGTCTAATATCAGTCGGTTTATGATCTCAATCAAAAAGTATTTCTATTTAAAAAATTTCAATTAAACTTAAATTATTAAGAGACTGTTAGAATTTTGGTTTAGAATAGATGGAATGTCGCTAGCAGTGGAATTCAGAAGACACGTTTCATTCTATTTGGAAGTCATCAGCTGGATGTATCGACACCCCAGAGTTGGTATTCAGTCCAGGACTCAAATCTAGTATTGTTCGCTACAAATACCATCGCGTTATCCAGATATCTACTCCTGCTCCAGTTTGGGCACCCGGACAGTATCCCATCCCTAGCGCAAATCAAATGATTAATGTGGTGTACATATTTGGTGCCTCCGTGTATCAATGTTCATGTGTTTAAATAAAAAATAAACCACCCACTTGTTTAATGGATATGATAAAATGTGTTAGGATGTAAGTTAAAACCAAGGTTTATAGAACAACTGACTTTTCCTTATATGGATTTAAACAGATGAGGTTTCAAGCATTAAGTAGTGTATGTTCAGCAATCCCTTGGACAGTAGTTTGAGCAAGCATATATTAACATTAACTTTTTCAGTACTGTTGAGCAGTCTTAAACTATGATGAAACAGCTAAGCAGCATTTCCTTGTTTTCAATAGTGTTTTCCAGTCCATGATGGAGGCTGAATTGTCGTGATCGTTACGCTATATATACAAAGTACAGTTTCCATCAACAATGGACATCAGTTACGGGATCATTAAATTTAAAAATCCTTGATACCTTTGTCTCGTCTCAGTTCAGAACATCATAGTAAGTTTAGTAACCTTACTATGTGGCTATCAGTGGGATCCAGGATATCCGTTTCGCCCTATTTGAGACTCATCAGTTGGATGCCCTTGCATAAATTGGTGAGGTGTTAAAGGTTAAAGGAACTGGATTCGAGCTTCAGTGTGAAAATTAACAATGGGACGCAGATACATCTAAATGACAAATACCAAACAGGATGAACGCACGTCGTAGATTCCACCGTTAGCTAATTAGTCATATGGCAACAGAACCTGATAAATTTTAGTCATGAATATCGACAAGAAACTGAGAACCCATACTCATATCTTTATAGATGTTGATATAGTGGGCCAATCAGAAATCGGCAAAAATGATATTGCATGTAATTGATCAAGGAATGACTTTGGTTTGGAATGGATTAAACATAAATCAGAGATCTGCTTAATTTCCCAAAAGAAATCATACATGCATAAACGAGTGCAAAGTTGTTTCTTGATTCGGGTACCCAATAAAATTCCTTTTCATTTTCAGTCTTTTAACTTAAGCACGTCAGATTAGGGTATAAGAAGTATGTGTATCAGTATCAACTCTTAGACACCACACATGATAACAGTAATATACAACGATAACCCCATATCAAAATTAGTGGAATTTGAAAAAAATATGACTAGCTTGAAATAGGTACTGGAATGTATCACTTGCTCACTGGAAAAAATCTCATAGATTCGATCCTGTGTGAAGTCTATGTTGTACACGATGCTAAAAAAGTTTTTTTTTTAACTAGTACAGGTAAGTAATACAAAACTGTTTTTCTTGAGTTTTACAAATAAGGTTAAAGAGAGGAAGAAGGAAGAGTGATGCAGAATAATATGAATTCATTTTATTTCGTTAGGTTCTTGTCAACTACTTATAACCTAAAATATTTCTGAAATCAACGTTATTACAGATATTGACAAACTTATACATACGAGGGTGATTAAAGATGTATCTTGATGAAGCGACAATTTCATGACAGTTAATAAGATCATAAGAATTTTGTTTCGGATAAATAAAGTTTGGGAGGGAAAGTTTTAGAACATTGAAATAGTGATTAGAATTCATGAAGTTAAAAAAAACATTTGATGATTGTGTAACTAAGCAACTGAAAATAGATTAATGTTAATAAAAAAAGATATAAATTGAAATCAGTCAGCTATGAATTAAAGAAAAATGAGAATAATTCAATTTAAACTTCAGGAAGAGTTGAAATAATGAATGACGTAATAAATAAAATTTGTGGGAGGAGGTAATGTTATCAGGGCAAAAAATGATTTATTACTGTCTCTGTATAAATAGACTAGGTTTTGAATGTTTGATTGCTATCGCTTCAGAAAATTTAAAAAGGTTGAAGTTTGATTGCTTTTTAATCAACTTGAAGGACTTCAGTGTACTGACTTCAAGTGTGGTGTCAAGGAGATGTATTGTGATGACATTGCTGAATGCTTTTAATCCATTTGATCTTAAACTTTTCGGAATATGTTTTTTTGAATCAAACGTAGGCTTTTCTATCTGTTCTACTAATGTAATTGCTTTGTCAGATACATCTTAATTTGTATACACAGTTGATGGTAACACAATCATCCAATGTTTGTTAACTTCATAAGTTCTAATCACTATAATTAATGTCCTGAAAATTTGACTCTCAAACTTTATTAACTTTTGAAATCTTCGCTACATCATGATACATCTTTAATCACCCTCGTGTATGTATAAGTATGCCATGAGTTCGAATCCTGCGAGCGAATTCATGGATGAGCACTGTTGAGGACAGTGGAGCATCGTAAGGAGATGCAGTCCCATGGTAGCCATTTGTTCACTCAGGATACTGAAGCCAGCCCATGTGCACCATTGATTTGGGATCCGGGTAAAGCGCCGGACATTCGCTTTTCGTCCTCTCATTTTCGTAAACAACACCCCCGCCACGTGAAGGCAGTGAGTAGGACTTCCCTGGGAGAGGCTATATACGCGTGGCTGTGTGAGAGCATTTCGAGAGGGAGAGCGGACTCTCCCCACTCTTGGTCGTACCAGGGCATTTGGGGGCTAATCTTCGTTCTTACTCTCTCTAAGATGATAAAAGGAATTATGTGTATTAAATAAACTTTAATCTGTTTTTCTTTTTGAAAAATTTCATCAGAAAGAATAACCACTAACCGATAAATTGTTTCTAAATTATTATCAATTTTTTGTAATTCATCAAATAATGATTTCTTTTTTTTCCAAACATAAATTTCATTTGCTAATTCTGGTATAATTAAATATGTTCTCCAACCGACAGTTTTTTTCGATTTTAATATATCACCATAAACATGATCACCAACATATAAAACATCTTTACCACGAGCACCAATTAAATTAGAAAAAACTTCACATGATCCTAAAACAATATGAAAATAATAATAATAATAATAATAATAATAACATTTTATAATAATGAATAGTAAGTATGTACTTTTGAAAAATAGAGCCCTTAGTGAAATACAATGTAATTTTTTATTGCTTGTAACATGTTACATAACAAGATAAAACAGATTCTAATTTAACAAATATAATTGCCATAAAGAGAGTCATGATAAAAATTTGAAAGAACCTCTTTTATATAATTTTTATGATAGTAGAATGAGAAAATGAATAAGTGTTTTATTAATGTTAAGAGTTTGTACAAATTTTTTTTTAATTGTATAATTTGTATTATGTATTGATCTTAGTTAAACAACCACTGAAAGTTAGAAAACACTAGATAGTGGGTTTTATACCAGAATGCGACAAGTCTTGAGAAATGGACAAGAACAACTTCTTTACGAGAATTAGAACTTAGAACTTTCGAGTCTTACGACGAGTAATAAAGTTCTATTGACTGGTATCCGATAGTTTATGTTTACATTCAATCAATTCGTTAGATTGTGCAATCATTTCCAAATGCCCTTTATTGGTGGGTAACTATCTGATACTTCATATGATCGAATGTTACTAGTCATCACCTCTGCTGAAATCTCTGGCTCATTATGAATTTCAACAGTTTAATTCATGAGTCAATCTAAGCTAAACTAATAATGAAAACCTGGAAGCACCAGATGGCCGTTTCGTCACAATATGTGACACCTCAGTAGTGCACAGTCACGATCCTGCACGTGGGACTCGAACCCAGGACTTTCGGTTTCACGCGCAAACACTTAAACTTTATATCACTGAACACTGCTAAGGGGTCCCATATTAGAACGAAACGGTCGTCCAGTGCATCCAGGTTTTCAGTGATGTTCTAGCTTAGATCAACTTGTAAATTCAATTGAAAATACTACAATCTCCACAAATACCGTTGCTATTATGAATTTAAACAAAAGTAGTACAGAAAATAATAAGTTTCAAAACATCATCCACATTTATGCATTCTCACGTTAGTTTAAATGTAGAAAATTTTAAGAGAAGTAAAGTTGATCACTGACTATATCGTTTGATTATTAAATGGATTGGATTATGTCATCAGCAACAACATCAACAACCCATTTGAGATCACTATAGAAATAAATTTAACTTAGGTACTAATTATTGTGAATAAAATCTATCATAAAAAGATAAAAATATATTAGCATCACAAACCAACTAAACGTAGATAGATGCAGTATATTTTAGAAATCAGGATTTAAAAGAAAGAACATCTTAACTATTTACTAAAAAAACACTAACCGTTTTCTAAGATACATTAAGCATAGTAAAAATTAGTTTTACTACAACTTGGGCAGACAGCTTGAATTTAAATGTCCCGTGGAGGAGGAGGAGGAGGAGGAGGGAGGGAAATATTCTACTTCCCATCAGGTGGTTGAATGATAATTCTTTCGAAAAATTAATTAGATACATAAATGTACACTAGAATTTAATTATGTGTAAACTATTCAATACAAACAACTAATAAATGCAAAGTATTGACTTGTTATTATACAATATTAATGTAAGTTTTTATTCATTTCTAATAGCTAACAAGAATTCACTATGAGTATGTTTTCTTCTTTTAATTAAGTTATGTAAATGGAAAGTAATTGAGAAAATTACTGTACGTATACTTTGTTTGTAGGTAGTATCAACAATGCATAAACATTATGATGAATTATGAGGTATAAACCCTTCCTAGCAATTTATAGAACAAATAGGTATATTTAATCGAAACAGTTATGTATATCAAAGGAACAATGATCACATTGAGTTTTATTACAATGAACAGTTTAACTCTGTTACAATGTCCGCTTGATAATTGTTTATGACATTACAATCTTTTCACAGTACTAACACCCTGAGAATAATTATCCACGAATCTTTCCATATAATTAGATTTCTTTTTTAATAAAAATACATTTTACAGTATTCAAATAGATTATGATTCAATATAGGTTAAACAAATAGGTGATATAGACTAATAATGATATCATTTTGTAACTATAGTTTATTCTAAAATTAATTTGTATACTCTTTGACTAAATAACAATTAAAAATTTTATCGTTCGGTAGAACAAACAGAATTAATTATTCCTTAATTCTAACCTTGGAATATTTGGATCACTGGACTACAAAACAACTATATACATATGGGAAAGGATAACACTTTCAATTTCGGTCGACAACACATGATATATATATATATACATATGCATTAAACTAATATAGTTTAAAATTACCTCCGGAATATATTTGACCAGTTTCTAAGGGACCCATATGATGACCAATACTAGGTTGGCCAGTTTCCTTTATAAAATAAATTGAGTGAAGGAAATAATGTTACGCAAATAAAAAGACAATAAATGACTAATATGTCATAAAATAATTTAAACAGTACTAGTCATAACAGATCTTGATAACGATTGAATAGGTAACTACTTTATATCTAATAGAGTTTTCTAGTCATATACATAACTTTAACCAATTACCATTTGTATTTATATAACATTTAGTTAATTAAGCATGAATTCATGTATTCGGTTTTAGGGCTACATTACAATTCTATGAGTGGTTATATTATTATTATTATTTAATTGTTTAAATGTAATTAGTTGAAGTTAGTTGTGAACCAGCAACTAAATGGCTAAAATTTATATGTTTTAATTAATTAAGTACCGATTTATTAATGTTAAATTGAAATATATAGAAAATAAAAAATGTTTCATTTATAAAATTTATTTAATTACATCACAGTTATAATAAATGCATTATAGATGATACTATTGTTCGCCTTTCATTTAAACGATTCATTGATATCTATACTATAGCCCCCAAATGTCCTGATATGGCGGAGAGTGGGGTAGGTCCGCCCTCCATCTCGAAATGCTCTCACACGGCCACGCATATACAGCTTCTGCCAGAGAAGTCCAAATCACTGCCTTCTCGCACTAAGGGCGTTGTTTACGAAAGTGAGAAGACGAAAAGCGAATGCCCAGCGCTTTAACCGGATCCTAAACCAATGGTGCACATGGGCTGGCTCCAGCATCCTGAATGAACAAATGGCGTATGAACCAATCGTTTGTCACCGACTACCATGGGACTGCATCTCCTCACGATGCTCCACTGCCATGTGGGTCAGACCTTTAGGTCAAAGGCTCGGGGTGTGGCCCCCTAAGAAAACCACCTGCTTCGGTCTGGGCACCCGGGCAGTATCACAGCCCATACACAAATAAAATGAAAATTTATGTGGCTCATATATATTTGGTGCCCCATTGTACCAATATGTATGTGTTCAAATAAAAATAAATAAAATAATAGTACTATACATCAACTCATATCTAAACTTGACATTGAATCTTTGTATAAGATAATTAATATGTCAGTGAAATAAGTTGATTAGTTAATCATTATAAGTAAATATAGATGGTGGGTAGTGATGGAATTCAGAATGCATATTTCTTCACATTTGAAACGTGTCAGTTAAATGTATCTATGTGTATAATGCTTATGACTTAAGGCAATATTGAAGCTATCTGAACAGGATGTGAATAAGTTAATAATAAACGGATCAAATATAGTCTTAAACAACAAAGAGATTTAAACAAACATATCAATCAATTTAATAAACTCTATAAACTAAAAAAAATGAGGACAAAACTTATAATATAACAGGAGGACAAATAATTGAAATAACTTTAGAAATACCATTTATATTATAAATACAAAATTCTAATGAATACATTAATTGATTTTGTTACAAAATCATAATCATCATGTACATTTTATAATGACTAATATGTGGTTATATTAAGTTATTGTACAAATAATTCCATTATGTATTATATTAAATGACCGACGTTAAATGTTTACATAGGCGACTGATATCTTTATAACTTTACATTACTAATACAATATTTATACCATTCAATTCCTTTGTTATGCATCTTGTATCAGACTCTATAGTCAGTCAGATACAACGACCGTTGTTGCTACCTTGACGTGGTGGTCAAGCTTGCCTATCGTGATGAAGCAACTGAGCTATACTGACTGAAACAATCGTTCCTCAAGTCCTACGATGCCAGACAGGTCAGTTGAAGAGCGGTAAGACTAAAAGCAACAAAACCAAGTTCCGAAGGCGAAGTCGTACTGCTGACTGTACAGAGGTGTGACTGCATTAAGGTGTTTCCTTCAGACAACCAGCATGACAGCGATGCTGCCTTCCCACAAGGAGGGGTGGGGTTAGAAAAGGTCGACCCTAAAAATGCACACCTCGCCTTATCCCAAGGATATCCGTCTCTGGCGATAAGGTCTCAACAAGTAAGGAGCCAACATGAAAATTACCCACAAAGAGGTCGTGTGTGGCCGACTTCACGCAGTTGTCCTTTGAGCATTGCGGTCACGCTCTCAGATCATTAAGACCACCTCAAATGCAATTTCGTTTCCAGGTACCTCTAGAAGAACTCTTCCACGGTGAGGGCAACCGGAAAGTGACATCAGCCCTCATACCTCTAACAGCACTCAAGACCACTGTATTCATCAGACTTTACGTCCAATATGAATAGTAACTGATTATCGAACAAAATGGTATTAAATCTCATAAATAAAAAAAACTAGTTCTTTCAATATTCATGTAGAATAGATAAAGTGCATAATGTGAACAGAGAATATACATTTATATATACATGATATAAAACGTTTCAACACACAAGCTGTTAATACAACTTAACGCTTACACATCATATCAAGTTGTACATTTATTTTAAAAACAATTTTCTTTTACCTCTTTGTCGAACATAGATGTTAATAAAATTATTTTTCTTGTAAATAAAAACATCAATGTTCTGGATGGGAACTTATGTAGTAAGCTCATTCCACTACTGTATTATTTATCTGCTCACTGTAATTTAAACACTTGACCCACCATGTAATTTTCTGTATGAGTATGATTGAGCACATTTCTGCACATCAATTTTCAATCTATTCTCTCATTGGTTGTAATACACAGACAATCAATAATTTATCAATACTTGATTAACACTCATAAATATATATGAACTTTTATCACTCACACACACACACACACTTGGTTTCACTGTGTGCTTGCTTCGTGTAGGCTTGAGGATTTTACCAATCTTTAACAATAAACTATCTCTATAACTGATGTTCGGGTTTTTGAATAATCTCGAGTAAATCCATAACTCTACTAGAAGATTTAGTCTGCATTAAATACCCAGTTAACGGGATACTATTTATTGAATTCAGATATAGAGGACACTAGCCTATACAGTCTTACTTAGATCGGCTCATAACTTTGATGAAATTCAACAATTCCCACAACCCTATATCGAAAATGACATTAATATGTTCGATGACTAAAATCAAATTTTAGTAATCTTCAATGTATGAAGTTTTATAATTTAACAAAGTGTAACAAATCACTTTATAACGTGAATATAACTTTAATAAAATTGTGGTTATGGTCAACTCATCTCTAACACCAAAATGACATAATTATATAAAGCATTATATTACTGTGTACAATACGATTTACAATATTACGATTTTCTTCATTCAACTTGAGTGTATTTTGAAACGTAATTTAAAGATTTCTTTCGAATTTGTCAGTGTAATGTTTTCGACAACTCTGCCTGGAGCCCCTCTTGGGCTACTGCCGGTCCCAAGCCCGGATAAAAGAGGAGGGTTGGGCATGGAGTTAGCGACCCCATCCCATAGAAAACTAACTCGCTAAAAAAGACGCTAACCAGAAAAAAAAACTATTCATATCATCATCAATGTTTTTGACATGAAACAAAAAAGAAAACAAAAACTTATTATAAGAATAATTCAACTAACTTGACAAACAACTCTTAAAATTGTTCCTTCTTGAAAGAATGCTGGTTTTCTTGCGTCAGTTACAATGTAATCAAAATAACTTGTCCATTTACGAATTGTACCCTTCAAATAGAAAGACAAAGTAGAAATATATGTATGCATTCATTTATATCGACTATTCTAGTCATACTGTTAATGATTTTTTGTAAGAATACATCTAAGTTAGTCTGTTATATAATTACACTTTAAGTAGTTTGACAAATATTAAATGTTACGAACTTCATTGTAGTATGAGACTAATTAATTTATAACATTGTTATAGAAATGTTATGTTCACTGAGCTGAATGATTTAGTTGTGAAGCATATCTTTTCAAGACAACATGATCAGCACATAGGATTAGTAATTTTCCATAATTAACTAAAGGCTATCTCTTATGATATGTTATTCGATTGATTGTTAGTATATTAGTTTAAAATACATTCTCTTCTGGCCTGAATTCTTTTCTTTTTTATGAAGGATATGCTGAAGATGTTGCCTAGAAAGACAATGAGAGAGTTTCGCAATTTGTATCATACACAGCTCAGATAATAAAACACCTTGAAAATTGTTATTAAGAAATCCTGAAAGAGAACATTTGCAAAATCTTATGATAACTTACTCAAAATGATAAGTTCTTATATGAATATAAATGTTGCACAAAAAGGTATGTCAACATTAATATATCACCACTAGTTAGTTAATTTGTAAAGTACTAAGCAACAATTATACAGTACGAATATTAAATAAATAATGACATTTCAAAGTTGTTATAATAAATCATTTGTTAATTTAGTATAATTTGATGAGCTTCAAACACACACACACACACACGCATAGAAAGAAAGAGAGTAAACTTTGAGAGAACATACTGTGATCGGTAGAGACTATTTTACAAAGTTTGTTAAAATACAAAGCATTTTTTTAATGAAATGAAGCATTATTTATCACTCACAAGTACTTTAATATACACTAAGTGATAATACAACAAAAATAAACAGGATTCATTTTGTCTTTCATGGACATATACTACTCAGTAATATGATTGTAAAAATATAATACATCATTGAACTTGAATAAGAAAAAGGGATATAAATTACACTCTATTAGATGTGCCCCCCCCCCAAAAAAACAAGTAATGATAAATATCTTAATTCAAAGCAACAAGCTTCTTTTTAAGTTGGAGTGGATAATTAAAAAGTGACTCGCTAGATCAGCATTGATTAACACACAATATTGAACAGCTATTTCTTTCTATAAAATTGGAATTGGAATTGGGATGGTGGACAATTAAAAATAGATTCTTTGATCTCAAGAGTAACTCACTATATCATGCAACAAGACCTAAGATTATTGAGGTCAGTTGTTCCTGACGGAAATGTGACTATGAAATGGTGACTTGTTCTATATTAGGATAAAACAGCTGTTCACTTTTCGAAAAATGGAAAATTTTTTCATAAACTTCAGATATGCTAGGAATTTTCCACAAATCTACTTTTATTTATATTATTAAACTGAAATGAAACAGCATTATACTAAAGCTAGACACAAAAACTGAATTTCAGCTGCCAACAAATGATTTGCTTTAAAACGGTACTTATACCTAATGTAGCTAAAGAATGGTTCATCATGATCAAACATACCATCATCAGTAGAAACAAACAGTTCATGTAGATTTGTATATTATGAAAACAGTTATCTTTATTAGGTTACGTACTAGGCGCAGATTCAAATATTAGGCATCAAGTTACACTCTTATTGTGAGGGAACTAGATACACTACTCAGTTTCCCTGAACCAAAGTAAGTGGTGGTATCGGATTCGAACATGAAACTTAATGGTTGAAAGTAGAATACCTTAACAACATAAACACTGTTCCATAATATATTACAAAACATGTGAACAGTAGGTTGGAAGAAACGTTTTTTTTTGTATATATGATTAAATATTGAAGAGACAAAAAGACTACGACTCTCTCTCTCTCTCTATATATATATATATATCGACTTGGCGAACAAATATTAATAAATTGTAGTTCAAAATAAAGAGTTGGTGGGCGACCTATGTTCCTCTACGAGGAATAACAGGCGTAAGTAGGTAGTACTAGTAAAGTTTTACAAAATAAAATAAAGAAATTATGATCATACATAACGTAACCATAAAAATTATTACGTTTTGTTTTATCTCTTCAAAGTTTATTTTTATCACTGAAATAATACAGAAGTATGAGCAAAATTATTATTGAAGTTTATTGTTAATCCGTAATTTAGAAAATAGCATACCTAAAACTATGAGCAAAGATGAATAATGGCCAACAGTGGAATCAAGGAAGCACGTTTCGTTTCGTTTAAAACTTGTCAAATAGATTTACCGCCATTCCAGAGTTGATGTTCACTTTGGGAAGCAGGGATATTTAGTTGACGAGTCCAAAATAGGACGAAATGCGCGTCCTGTATTCCACAGTTAGCCAACACCCATCTTTGTTCATAAAGCTTGTGACTTGAGGTAATATCAAGGCGATACGTACAGGATGTATATATGCCAATAAAAGACCGATCAATTAATGTCTAAAATATCAATTGGAAGATTCAAACAAACAATACAAAAATGAACGATACGCAATATTGTATTGAAAATTTAAAAAAATCAACTCCTAACTATGAATCATGTTGTTTTATTTAATTTTAAACTTATTCTAAATCACTTTTAAACCAGTTGAATATGAGAAAAGGTGAACGGGAAATTAGCTAGGTTACATGACATATATATACCCATCAAAATAATAACATAAGTTATGACCATTTACTTATGATGAAAGCTCCACGACCAAACCATCCAGCTCAGAGAACAAAACTCCATCAAAATCATCCACCTGAGCTACAAATCTTCTCCACCATCTCATGATTAAATATATGTTTAATACAATAATAATAAAAAAAATACGTATAACAGTAACCAACAATTTGCATAGAATTATCTAGTATATACAATTGTTTGTTCTATAAATTTCTAAGACTAGTAGAACTATAGGAAAATGGAAAGTGATCAATTATTATTGTAAGATAATTTCTATTTAGCTTTCATTGAATACTAAGAGTTAGAAATTACACGATAAAAAATGTTTAATTATTTAAACATTATAGTACTTTAAATTAAAATTACTGAAAACGCAATAGTGACAATAACGAATCATATTGTATATGAATGAAGACTATTCTTTTCAAGGCCCTCAAAAGCCCTGGTATGGCCGAGAGTATGAAGAGTCAGCTCTCTCTCTCTCGAAATGCTCTCACGTGCATAAAAACACTGCCACGGAAGTCCTACTCACTGCTTTCTCGTGGCACTACTGTTGTTTACGAAATTGAGAGAACGAAAAGCGAATGTCCGACGCTTTAACTGGGTTTATCGATACGGAGGATCCATCTAAGGGAGTTGAAAACCCAAATTCAGAACCAATGACCGCATAGGTTCCATGATCCTAAGGAAACAAATAGTGTATGAACCTATTGTTGATCACCGGCTATTATGGGGCTCCATCTCCTTAAGTTGTTCCACTGCCTTGAGCACTAGAACTTTAGAGCAAAGACATAGGGCGTGGCCCGCTAAGAAAACCACCTACTTCGGTTTGGGCACCCGGGCAGTAGCACAGACCTCACAAAAATCGAATGGCGCATATCTATTTGGTGCCTCCTTGTACCAATGTTTATCGGTCAGTTAGTCAGTCGGCTACAACGTAGGATCGGGCACATATATGCATCACTCCAAGTTGCCATACCGCATCAGCACAGCAAGATGAACACCAGATTCATAGGAGTGGTTAATTCAGTGGCGGTAATATATAGAAGAAAGATCGCACATAAGATAGTACAGGAAGAAAGAATTAGTTCCTAGAAAGAAAGATTTGAAGTGATTTTAATCTCTTAGTTGTTTAAAGGAAGACAGAGAGTGTATACACCTACGCCATTGTGATCGATTCTGAGCCATGTCACCAAGTTTCCAACCATTGGTTACAATAGTCACGCGGACCCCAACCAAGTAGTCTGCATCTACCAACATGGCTCAGACCAGAAGTTAGTGACCCAATTATCCCTAACACCGATTAGCATTGCGCGTCGTGGTAATCGATGTTCAGGCATACGTAGCATGTGGCTTAACCATCTTAGTCGTTGAAGATTCAAAACCTCATCAAATAATTTACCATCATTCCCTAACACCCTACGTCTAACCTCACTATTACTTACCCGGTGATCCCAGCAGATGTTTAAATAAATAAATAAATTCTTCTCAAGTATAGATTTATGTAACAGAAGTACAAAGCATTACACTTATTACATAAAAATCAAATAAATTAACATTATATTGTCTATTTGAACTTGCAATACATTATTTACAGGTTCAAATGTTTAAACCATGTCACCGTAAAATCAATGCAAATTCATGAAAAACTAAGTTTTTCCCCACACACACACACACACACTGTTGGTATTTTTTAAAAGTACACACACGTGATTATATATTTCAATGTATAGGTTCTATAAAAAAAATCAACATTATTTCCTAATCAATCAATCAATCAATCACAGAATATGTTCTATGTTTGTTTAAGGACAAATTTTCTACCTGAAAGTAATTTACAATTATTCTTTATTTATTTATTTTTTTAATTTTTTTTAAAAAACAAACAAATTGTGTCTCTAATGACCTATTTTATACATAATAGTGTTAATTTAATAAAGAAAATTATATAGCTGTGTTTTACTCAAAACCCTAGTAACTAATAGTTGACATAGAAAACCTGCTAATGCAGTCATAATGAACAATTATTATTATTAAGAAATTACAATTACTGACGGTAAACCATATATATATATATATATATATATATATATATATATATATATATATATATATATATATATATATATATATATATATATATATATATATATATATATATATATATATATATATATATTAAAGGGAACATGTCGAAATAAATAAAAGGCCACCCGACCGTAGCTGCTACCTTGACGTTGTGGTCAGGCTTGCCTATCGTGATGACCCAACTGGGCTATATTCATCAGTA